ACGAGGAGGGCTTCAGCCTCCGCAGACCCTCTCCCCTCCGCAGCCCGGCCCCCGTGGCCGACTCCACCTGTGCCGACTCCCCCTCGGGGCTGGCCCTGGTCACCAGTTCCCAGGGGAGTCCAGCCCCCGTCTGCAAGGTGAGCGAGGGGGGGGTGTCGATCCCTGAGGGGTCGGCCAGGGGCCTGAACCCCCAGCACTCCAACGTGGCCCCGGGCCAGAGCCCCCCACGGCTGGGGCCCAGTGGGGGAGGGTCCTCCCGGGCCCCACCCGCCCCCCACGCCTCCTCCTCCAGAGCCAGTTTGGTGGAGTGGCTGGAGTGGGCGGACTCCAATCTGGGAGCACCGGGTCTGATTCCCCCGCTCCTCCTCCACTCGCACCTGGCTGGACAACCTGGGGCAAGCCTTAGCCGTTTCTGTCCAGAGCTCTCGCAGCCCCGCCTGCCTCACAGGGTGTCTGTCTGTTGTGGGGAGGGGAAGGAGTTTGTGAGCCCCTCTGAGACTCCCTAGGGTCGTGAAGGGCCACGGGGTATGAATCCAATCGCTTTTCTCTCTTCTCCTTCCTGGTCTTCTCTCCAGGCCAGCGTGGCAACACAGTGCGACCCCGAGGAGATCATCGTCCTTTCGGACTCGGACTAGTAGCGCCCCCCTCCTGCAGCCCTCGAACCTACCGGAAGGGGGGGGGAGGGGCTCGAGGTGGGAGAAGGAGCGCTGGCCCAAGCGGGGGCCTTGCCTGGTGCTGTGGCCCGGCAGCCCCACCCTCTGGCCGCCCTCTGGCCGCCCGGCGCTTGCGCTTGCCGGCACTGGGGTGGTGGTGGTGGGTTGCGTGTGTGGACTTTGGTGAGCTTCTGTGGTGCTGCATGGGCTGTGGGGAAGGGGTGGGGGGTGCGGGTGGGGCGCTGCGCTCACGCCCCCCCCCCGGGCGTCTTGGGGGGTTTCTCTGCGCTCCCGCCCCCCCCCCGGTTGTCTTGGGGGATTCCTTTTACAAAAAGGGGAGGGGGGGTTGGGGAATAAAGATATTTTTTCGTATTGATTTTTGGAGTGCCTTGTCTGTTTCCTGGCTGGGGGAGGAGGAGGGGGAGCTGTCGGCCCAGCTGGCGAAGAGAGGGGAGTGGGGGAGCAGCCCCCCCTGTCCCAGCCTGCCCCGCCCCCCATGTCACTGCATGTGCCCCCCCTGTCACTGCATGTGCCCCCCCGAAAGGCAGGTCTGGGGGCTGCTTGTGGTGCCTGGCCTCTCCCCCCCCCCCCCTCTGCGACAAGTGGGAAAAGCCGTAAGTGGGAAAAGCCGTTTCTCCCCCCCTCCTCACTTTCAAACCGTGCCGTCTGCCCATGCTCAGAGGTGCTCATAGAATCGTAGGATGTTAGAGTCGGAAGGGACCTTGCAGGTCATCTAGTCCAACCCGCTGCACTTTGCAGGAGCAGAGCCGAAAGACAGCCCTACACACCTACAACATACCCGAAAGAGGGTCGCCCGGCCTCCTCCGCTTGGAAACGTCCAGCGAAGGCGGAGTTCCGGGCTGGCCTCCTCTGCCGTGCCTGTGCTGGGCTCGACTCGTGTGTTGGTCTGTCACCTCTTCCTAGCAGGAGAGCAAAGTGAGTCCAGTGTGGCCCCTTGAAGACCAACCAGAGTTCTGTTCCGGGTGTCCGCTTTCTTGTGCAGGCGCCCTTCTTCAGGTACAGACGAGCGCGTGCCCGGAGGAGCTCCTAGTCTGAAGAAACCTCTGTTGGTCTTCAAGCATTGTTCTGCTGGGGGGTGGGGGGCGTGATTTACATGCAGGACGCTTATGGGCAGGGATGCATCCTCTTCTAGCAGGAGTTTTTCGTATTTGTATCCCGCGAGTGGGCTCAGGGCGGGTCACATCATCGTCAACAATGCAATAAGGTTGAAAAGCAGGATAGAAACATTTACCCGACCCATGGATACTGATAGATACGGCCGGCAGCGACGTTGGGGGGGGAGAGGGGCTGTGTGTGGACACCCAGCTGCCTCGATCAAAGGCCTAGTGGAACGGCTCTGTCTCGCAGGCCCTGCGGAAATGAGCAAGAGCCCCCCGCAGGACCCTGACTTAAGACCAACCAAGGTTCGGTGCTGGGTGTCCGCTTTCTTGTGCAGGCGCCCTTCTTCAGGTATGGAAGGGTGTGTGCCCGGAGGAGCCTCTACTTTGAATAAACCTCTGTTGGTGTCGTGGTGAAGTGTGCGGACTCTAATATGGTAGAGCCTGGTTTGATTCCCCACTCCTCCACTTGCAGGTGCTGGATGACCTTGGGCAAGCTATAGTTCTGTCAGAGCTGTCCTTGAGAAAGCCGTTTCTGTCAAGAGCTCTCTCAGCCCCACTTACCTCACAGGGTGTCTGTCGGGTGAGGGGGAGGGAAAGGAGTTTGGGAGCCGCTCTGAGACACCTTTGGGTAGTGAAGGGTCATGGGGGATACATCCCATCTCCTCTTCAAAGCTGGACTCAAGCATCGTTCTGCTGGTGGTCGTGGGTGTGGGTCACTTAAGGGCAGGAAGGCAACCTAGCTGGAGACCGGTCCAGGCACCTTGGAGACCAGTAGAGTTCTGTGTGGGCTGTGCACTTTCTTGTGCAGGCACACCTCTTCAGATAGGAGAAGATTTACACCCCATGGCCCTTCACTACCCAAGGGAGTCTCAGAGCGGCTCCTGCCAAACTCCTTCCCCTTCCCCTCCCCGCAACAGACAGACACCCTGTGAGGCAGGTGGGGCTGAGAGAGCTCTGGCAGAACCCGCTCTTTTTCCCAAGAACACAGTAATATAAATAGTAACAGCCGAGGATGGGAAAACAGGCCGACACTCAGCACTTAGGAGGAAATGAAATACAATCCCTCCACTGTATTTAACAATGGTATTTGATAATAGCTAATACCACATCCACACCCTTACATATTCTGTCTTTCATGTGCACACCCAAAATACAGGGGGGGGGGAAGTGGGTTGACAAAACTCCCCGGAGTTGGTTTTCGTTTGTTCACAACTTCATCTGCACGTACTGCGGCACCCGTGGTAGTCTCCCTTGAAAACCGCCTATCCATGGTGTCTTCACATGATATTCCATGCCAGGATTTCAAATACTAGAATGTGCCCTCACCCACTTTACTGGAGATCTTACAACAGCTCCGAGAGAACGGTGGCTTGCCCGAGGTCATCCAGCCAGGTGCGCGGGGAGGGGGGCCTCAGCCCCGGTCCTCCCCGACGAGGGCCTGCAGCGCGCTTGACCAGGACGCCAACCTGGCTCTCTGTGCGTGCCCAGAGGGGCTCCCAACGTCGAGCCAAACTTTCGTGGGGAGGGGTGCAAACGAAGCGACTGAAAGACACGAAAAGGCGCGGGGTTGGGGGCGGCGGCAAGGAGGCGACCTCTTCTAGCGGGAGGAGGGGGCAGTCTTGCCAACCCCCAGGAGGGTCCCCTGCTGCAAGGGGGGTGAGAGCCGGCGCGGGGCAGGCGCGCACTTTTGCCGGGATCAAGACCTGGGGAGACTCGCTCGCTCGCTTCTCGCAGGGGGGCGCCCACCCTGACACCCCCCCGCCCCCAATTGGCGGCTGCCCCGTTCCCAGGCA